AAATCTATTCACTTATAGTATAAAAAATATTTACCAAAACTTTACAAAAAAAATTGCAAAGATGCATTTGATATTCTATAGGATATCGGATTATTATTATTCGATGCCTAGAAAAAAGTGGAAGAATTTTTCAATTTCCGACTTCGTCTGAAAGCTCTTTGCATTCATAGTAATGCAGAGGAATTACTAGCAATGACTGATTTCCGGCTTTGATGGTAACATATGTATATATATTGTTGATCAACTATTTTCTGCAAGCATATTTCTCGTCAAACAAATTTGCTACAATTACGATAATTAATATTTCCCCGAGTGTCATCGTCGTCGTTGTCGTCGTCGTCGTCGTCGTCCTCGTCCTCGTCCTCGTTATAATAATTTTGATTAATTGAATCTACAATCTTTTTCATGAAATCAATTAAAATTAGAAAAAGTTCTTCATACACAATTAAACGTAATATATCATCATCCTTGCGACAACGTAAACGTCGTGATTTTTTTCTCTCACAAATTTCTTTCCATAATAATATATTAAATATATAATATGTGTAAACAATTTTTTTCGATGAGAAAAAATTCTAATAGCATCAATTTAATCGAAATAAATAAAACATTTACAAAATTTATTTCTATCTCATCGTTGACAATTCAATCCATGGATAAATCTAATCGTGTTACTTACGTGAAACAATAATTAAATTAATAATAAACTAAACGCTTATAAATGTTAAAAAGAAAACATGGAGGAGAACAAAAATCATAATAAATAAAAAAGAAACTTGAATTTGGTTATGACGTTGTATGCAAGAAAAACAAGAATAAAAGAAAGTAGGATTGGAGAAGGGTTTGTGTCTATATGTGTGTATATAGAGAGAGAAACAAAATGGCGAATGAAAATCCCAGTTAGTCAATCAGTCAGTTAGTTAGTCAAACGAATTCTATAGTAAATTGCCATTATTCGTAATTAAATATAAGATCGGATTACACGGTAGTTACTAGCACAAAGGGGAGGGTGGTGGTAGTGGTGGTAGTGGTAAGGGGGTGGGTTGGGGGGTGGGTTGGGGTTATTAAAGTTGCGTTCCCATCGTATGAAAACATTTTGCGCATAACGCGGAGAAAATTAGCCTCTTCATTAAACCACCCGCTCGAGATTTACTCAAGATAACGAGGGTACACATCTCTACCAGCCCGTTTCTATGGCCCACCTGTCTCCTGCCGCAAACCACCCCCAAGCACACCGCTATTGCCGTCCTCCTCCTCCTCCTCCTACCTTCTCTATCAACCCCGTGCTACACAACGTTAGTTTGTAATTGAAAATTTGCTTCTAGCGTTAATAAGCGACCAACGATGAGGACGAGGACGAGGACGAGGACGAGGACGTCAATTCCATGACGAAGAGAAATTCGTTAGAGCACGAAGCAAATTCTGAAAGAATAAGAAGAAGAAGAAAAAATAATGAAAAAGAAGAAGAAGGAGAAGCATTGCACGCGTATATTATATTATTTCGATGAAAAGAGAAATTTTCTTACAATCCGGTCGTTTAGGAATATCAATGAGGATTTCTATTTAATCGGGAGGGGGTAATAAATAAAAGAAAATACGAAAATTTACATTACGTTAGTGTTTTGTAATTTTCCCAGGGGGAACAGGGATATGAAGGGGAGAAGAATGTGTGAAAAGAAAATTCAAAAAACAAAAAAGAAAACAAAAAATAATAACTCAACGCCACGCGGTTGAATAAAAAAAAAAAAAAAATAAGAAAAAACGAACCGCGTTCACGGGACGACGATTTGAATTAACTCCGGAAATAAATGTAAAAAATATATAAAATAAAACAAAATTCGAAATTGGCAATTATGGTACATATACATCGAATAACGTTATAACGAAAATAGAAAATTACTTCACAGTTGCGTTGTTTTCTAATAAAAAAGGAAAAAAAGAAAAAAAGGAAAAGTAGTTCTATCAATACCAGCGAGAAATTTTGTTGTCGGTTCTTTTTATTATTTTCGATGTTTCTAAAAGGAACGACGATCTGAACATTGTGCGATATAGATAAATCGAAAAATGAAACGATTGAGTGGACGGGGGAGGGGTGAGAGAGAGAGAGAGAGAGAGGAAACGAAGAAAATTACGTTCGAGAGAAAGCTTTTTCCTTTTTTTTTTCTTCCCTTTTTTCCCCCTCTTTTTAGAAATAGTCGACAGACCAGGAGGGTAAATGTTTTTTTTTTTTTTCCGTTGTTTTTCTTTTCTTTCGCTGTGTCAGTTCTATTTTCTTTTTAGTTCCTAACAGGACAACGATCTAAATACCCCAACACGCGAAGTTTCCTAACACGCGAGAGAGATACAGTTTGATAAGTTAACAAGTTGATTGTTAACGGCAAACGAAAAGAAAAGAGAAAAAAAAGGACAAACAAACATAAAAAAAAAAATAAAAACGAACGCGTCGTCGAACAAATAGACTCTTATCTGAAATATCCTTATTTCTTCTTTTTTTTTTTTCTTTTACATTTTTCAATTGGATACGTCCTAATCGTTTCTCGTATTAAAACAACAAACATAATTGAATCATATTCGGTGTTGAGACGATCAAATAGAAACAATAAAAAAAGTACACCTCATACACACATACACACACACACATATATGAAATGTTTAATTCTTCCTACATCTCGAATTATTTCACGATGAACAAATTACGAAAGTATACGTGTGCTCGCGCGTCTGTACTCTAAATTATTTCAGAATCATTAATAAATGTGTATATCACAAAAACACGTCGTCAACAAATTTCATTTCAATCTTGCTCGTACGCGGAACGATTACTTTTCGACGCCTATCAAATGCTCGTTTATTACTTTCGACGTTTATAAATAAAAAATGAATAAAAAAATGAAAAAAAAAGAATGAAAAGGAAATATAAAGTGGAAAAAAACGGGTGTGGGAATGGGAAGGGGGATGGAAGGGGAGGGGAGAGAGGTCGGGTTGTAAATAACAAAACCTAACGAGAAGCAATAGTAAACGTGGTACATTAATAAAAAGGAAATAAAAAACCCCAAAATGTCGTTCCTATAAAATAAATAAAACAAAATAATCAATAAACAATTAATATCGAAATTATGACACTGGGTGTACGTATACGTGGTACACGCGTTAATTGTAAGTCATACGAATACTATGACATACGTGTGTTGTATTCACGTTAGCGTATATAATTTATCAATCATGAAAATGTGTAAAAAGAGAGAGAGAGAGACAGGATTTACTCGGTCGTTAATTAACGTCGGTTAGTTTCAAAACCGTCATGAAATTTCACTCGAAATATATTTATATATATATATATATATTCTTTCCATTTTTGAAGATCGTTCAATCTTCTAGAAAATAGGGTGGGTGGGGGTGGGTTTTGTTAGAAAGAGTTCACGCCCGAAATCGAAGCTTTGATTTCAAGGGACATACTTCGTGGCACTCTACTTTCCTGAAAGAAATACAAATAGAAAAGATAAAGAAAGAGAGAAAGAGAAAGAAATAAAATAAGTTAGAGAATAATAGAATTTAAAAGTTACTTAAACGAGATAGATGGCTAAGTGAACTAACAGTGCTGGTTCTAGAAGAAATGGTACAACCGAAGTAGTTCGTAACGATGAAAGGGGGTTGCGGGTGGGGGTGGGAGGAGGAGTTAGGTTGCGGGGTTGAAACTAACTGAACGAAGAATATCGAATTAGTTCGATGAAAAAAAAAGGTGTAGAAAAAGAAAAGTAAATAAGTAAAATAAAACAAAAAAAAGAAAAGAAGAAATAAACGAATAAGAGACAGCCAATGAAAATAGAATAAAATGAATGAGATGAGAAAGAATTCAAAGGATAAGAAGAAGAAGAGCAACAAAAAAAAAAAAAAGTAACAACGGGTCAGGCGAGAGATAAAAAAAAAAGAAAAGAACGATCGAAATAAGAAAAAAATTGGAACACGCGCGAAATCGACGAAACGAGGTTACCCGTTTCGAGAAAAAAACGGGGTTTTTATATAATAATAAGTTTATCTTGATAGAATATAAAATAATAAAGTTTCTTTACTATGTGGTTTTTGTTTCCCGTTTTGTTTGTTTCGTTTTAAATTATATTGTTAGATATCTTTTGAAATAATAACGCATGTTACATACGAGGGATGAAAACGACAAACTGATCGACGAACTGTCACTTACGTGAACTTTATTCCTTTTTTTTTCCCAACCTCCCGCCACCCCCCTTTCACCCCTCCGTCATTTATTTATTTCTTTCTTTTTTTCTTTCTTTTATCAAATCCTCCTTTTATCCACTTCTAT